ACGTCCGAATCGTGAATTATCCTCCGCGATCTTGGAATCCAGCGCAACGGCGATGAATCAATCTTACGAGGAATAAATGGGTCTTGAAAATTCCATCAAGGAAGAACCTATCAGCGACTTATCAACGGGATCGGACATTTTTAATTACCCCTCGCGTTGGTGGAAAATACGTGTATCGTTAGCAGCCTTCAGCCTAATTGCGGCTTGTTTGTTATACCCCCGGGCACGATGCTCGATCTGCCTTTTCGTGCGATGCATGATTAATCAAGTAGCTGAGAATGAAGATTGATTAGCTGTACGCTCGGTCTTGTTAGGATCTTGCCGAGGTGTACAGCGCTCTCCTTACGACTGGAGACATCGTGACATGGACAGATACACGTGTACGTATCGCAAACATCGAGCGGATGATCTGCTCGTGTTAGAAGGAAAGGTACATTTGGTCTAAGACGTTGCGAGAATGAAAATCATTGGAAATGATTCTTTTTCCAAATGCTTATTCGAGGAAGAGCTTCTCTATGTTTCAATTCAGTTCTTAATCGGCCAACGTGAAAATATTTCGTATATCCCACGAGCCCCACGAGTTTGTATAATACCGGATGATCTTTGGCAGACAGTAACTATTCCGGTCTCCGAGAAACGGAAATACGGCAACGCGGATGCAAATGAAACGGTATCCTGGCACATTGGCTCTTAATAGCCAGGCATTTTTAACGTTTCATTGCCTTCCTGTGCTTCGAAACGCAGGACAGAACCGCAATAACGCGGAAAGAATGGTCGGAATCGCGTTTTCTTTATCGTCCTGTGGGGGAGGGAAAAGGAACATTCAGCTGTATAACGGCCGGCGAAAAATGGCCCCGACGAAATTCCATTCGTCGCGCGACATTCGCCGAGCAAGTGTTTCGACTAAATGAGAAATTTCACCGAGAATTTTAATTGACCCGGCCGACTAGGCGAAGACAATGAGCGTTGAATGCCGCCACAGCCTGGCTTGCCTTCCTACCTTGTCCCTACTGTTCAGACCTTTTATCGAGAGGGATCAACTCGGGCAACGCGTGTATCCTTTTTACCATTAATCGTACAAAAAAAATGTATAAATCAAATAAATGTTGACGGGAATAAATGACAAAAATAACTTTGGCGTTTCGCAGCTCTTGACCTAAGTAATCGAGAAAATGGAATCGTTCGCGTATAAAGAAACACGTGTGCTCGGTATGATTGTTTTGAGCAAAGTAACGTGTACAGTTGTTGACGATACAATGATCGATTTCTTTTTTTAACCCTTTAACTGCGGGGGTGGTTTATAAACCACATACTAAAATTATAGCCAGAGGCGGATATGGTATATAAACAACATATTAATTTTTGTTAATATCAAATAGCTGTGACTTATATACCACTAAAATAAAAATCAAATAAATACAATAAATCTTTTAAAATAGAATATCACTTCAGTAATATAATTTAAAATTAGAGCAATATAATTTAAAACCCGCAGTTAAAGGGTTAATAAAAAAATAAGAAATTAATGTAATGAGTTTTTTAACGCTCAACTGTGACTACAGATGCAATAAAACTGGACATTTCTTTGTTCTCGGGGATTCATTATATTAATTTTCCACTTTTTTAGGTAAAGGGTGCATCTTTACGCATTCTTGTTTCAATGCCCCCATATCTGGAGCAACGATATCGTATATTAATCGTAAAACAAACCGACGATACCGGTTTCCTCGTGCATCGGCTTGACCCAGATCGGACAGTCTGCCGCAATTTGCACTCGATGCGCTTTACCGGAGCTTCCACGAGTACGAAAGCGAAGGAACAGGCATCGAAGGAATTCGCAGTGTCATCGTTTCTCTTCTGCCTCGCAATCCGTCCACCGTACCTGCCCGTTTCCGTAAACAGATCAGATCTGTCCTCGATGAAACGAGCCATCGTGTATCGATAATGTGAATCATTGCTCCGCAATTGGCCGAAATTCTCTGAATCGTTCGATATCCAGCTCGTCGAAACGAGCAATCGAAAATATTTCCGGGCCGCACAAAAGCGACCATTTCCTATCGATATCGCGGCACATAATTTATGTTAAACAAATACCGGGAAATTGCTAACGTTGAAAGCAATTTTATATATTATCACGGTCGCTGGGTTTCATGAAATGCCTGCTCCACGATTCGCGATCGTACGTCTCTTTTATCATTGCTCGCTTCGAGTTCCTCATTTTTCTCCGTCTCGTATAAGAAAATAATAGCGATTACAAAGGATTCATCCTTAGCCCGATGATTTCATTTTTATCGAATAGCTCGGAGGTAAGAATTCGCTTCTCCTTCTCCGCGGAGAAGGAATGAAATCGAACGAGTTTCGGATAAACGAAATATTTGTATCGTTCCGAAAGCGATACGGGAATACGATAAAAATTATTCGATACCGATGTAGAAAAGGTAGGAAATTTTCGAGAGTTACTTTTCTATTTAGCCCGGCTTCTACGATCTTCCTGAATTTCATCGCGGAAACGATTCCTTTTATTTTCAGTGCCGCGCCATATTATCCTCCATAAAGGATCAGATAAAAAGACGGTGCTTTTAACATACACGTATCAGAGATATAAGAGCAACGTGACTGGCATCGTCCGTATCAGCTCTCTGTTCGCAGGGAAGAAAAGCGTCTCGTATGGTCGTTCGTAAACGATGATCGAAAAGTTCGGATTCAGAGAATTTCCTCCTTTTGCTGCGATAAAATCTAACCCGATGGTATTTCATTTTTCCTCGCGGACACCGCGAAACTGTCAACCTTGCTTTCTAATTTAAAATCGAAAGGATACTCGACGATATTCTCGGGGAAAGATAAAAAAAAAAAATAAACGTGAAACCTTCTTCCCTTTGACAAAAATTCCTTCTATTTTCCTTCAAGGGATTTGCCGATTGAAACGTTGCGAATCCATTTCAATGAACGCTTCAACACCTGTATCGAACCGCGTGAATATAATTGCCACGGCTAAAGGATTAATTTGGAGCGAAAACAGGTGTTGTAATTGGCCTGTCGAAGATGAAGTGCTTCTGCTTTGAATCGCTCGAATAATTTACGACGTACCGAGTAAATATAAACAGAATCGAATATCTGGCGTATACCGGGGGCAAACAATCGTTTGACGCAGTTTATATTCGAGACATTCTTGTGTGCCGAGCGTGTTCTCGCTAAAACTCGATAAATAATAATGCTTTAAAGTCCCCGCCAACCGAACTATTCACAAAGCGAATCAATTAACGTTTCCCGTGCCTGACAAACAACAACGAAGCATGCTCTTTGTTTTGTACGCGATCGTGGTATTGGCGTTTGTTTGCTTCACCTTTTTTCTTCCCCACCGTTCGAATAATGAACTGTTTTCATTCGTTTTTCGTACAAAGAGTTCGGCTATATTTGCTACAACATAGCTCGATACGGCCAGATAACGGAAGAGGCGCGTGTTCGATGATAAGGGAGAAGATTATTCCTCGATCATAAGCTCGACACGAGTGAAAAAAGCGTTCGATAATGTTTTTACAGGGGAGGAGAGTAAAGCAGTGATTTCTTTCGAACACCAGCCAACTTCCGTTTGGCTCCGGCTTCGTGAAAACACCGTCTTTATGTACTTTACCTGAAAGTCTCTGCATCAGCGACTTGGCACCGATGGAAACTTTCCTGCATGGAATAATCGGGATCAAATTCGTTTATTCGAACCTCTGCGCCTAGAATGATTCCTCTCGAGTCGTCTGCCAATTCCCATGATACGATAGAATTATCTGACGTTCAGATTCAGGAATTGAAACAAAGTCCAACAGGCGTGATTATTTCTCTCGTCAACCACTTTCGTTTTCCTATTTTCGCATTCACGTCAGAAGACAAGCTTCTCGTTGCTTTTTCCTAACCCTTTACCCCTCGAGCGCGGTTCTTCCTGTTTCCTTAGCGATTTCCGGTCTACCTGTTAGTCGGAACTACAGTAGAAAATTAGCGCTTTTGATCTTTGATTCCAGAGTCGCGTCTGAAGATACTTCGAGCGAGTTGTTCCGTCGCAAAGACTTCAAACTTCTCGGTTCCTGACAATTATTCTGAGAATAATCAGAAACCAGCAGGGAAATTAACGCTCGAAGGTGATGGTTTATCGTAGGAAATTAATTGAACCGAGACAGTAAATGCGTAGAAATTCACGAGCTTAACCTCGATCGAAACGTTTGAAGAACTGGAAACAACTGAGCTCCGGCCCTCCATCGAATTTGTGAAAATATCCCGACTCGTCTCGTTGGACGGATTATAGAATTACAAGAGCAGCGTGGAATTTAAAAATTCACTGTTCAAAGTTTAAAGGAACAATCGATCGAGAGCTATTTAAAACTCGAGGAAACAGTCTAACGAAGGAATTAAACTGAACTATTTAAAGGAACGGGGTTTGCACGGGGCAGAGGAGATGAAAAATTGTCGTGGATCGAGGCGTTTAAAGTAGATCCGTCTCGATTCGATCCAAGCCCGCGTCTGACGAGTAGCGAGGGGTTAAGAATCCAAATAAATCCTGGCTCGAACGTGGTAAGCGGATTATTCGTGCCGGGTGTCGTCCATCGACACTAGGCTTCGTGCTTCTGAAAAGGAAAGAAGCCGGTCTGTGTCGTCTTCAGAAAAGCAAGGAAGCCGCTAAGACCGGGATTAGTCGATAATTTTCAATGATCGCTTCGATGACTGCTCGCGCCAAGTCGCGGTAAGCTATCGTCCGATCAAAGCTCCGTGATTCGTAACAAAAACCACGAGAAGACACTCGTTAATCCTGAAGTTTCTTTTTTGATAAATAAAGGAAAATTAACGGGCGATTAAAATGAACGGAAACCGGCGGAAACCGGTATTGTAATAAATTGAAACGTGAAAGATCGTAAAGCGGAGGCGGAGAGAGGGTCAAGTTGACCACGTCTGTGGACACGCACGTGATCACCGACGTAACTGGAGGATTCACGTGCGTTTATCCCACGGGGTATAAAAGGCTAGAAAATACGCTGGAAAGTTGCAGTTCTCACCTGGCCGCCTTAAAATACCGTAATGGGAAAGATGAGGATCAAGGTACAGTATCGAGAGGGAAAAGAATAAGTCTCGGATAAGGAACAGGTGATCGAAGAGAAACGAAAAGAGAAAGTGCTGATGGAGGAATGACTTGCTTTGTCCCAGAAGATAAAAGAAGAAAGTGAATCAATAATTCTTTTTAAAGGCAATTTTTTGTTCTTTGGATTTATTCAATTTCGCTGGATTGCATTTAACACCTCTGACACTTTGTTAAAAATTCATATCGTTTCTCTTCGAACGAATCGCGATCGGAGTTATCGTACATTCTTTTTTTCAATATTTCCATCGATACTTTACAGCCGATCGTTTTCAATAATTTCTATTTGCCCGGGCAAACGAGACAACAAAGTGAAACACGTACGAATACAAGGAACGAGAAGAATCGAATTTCAATCGGCGAGGAAAGGCGGAACTTTTATTGGCTCGTATAATCGACCGGCTCTCGTTTTCGAATCGGAAGTCGACGATTGCACTCTGTCGAACGGTGTAATTAAAACTGCGACGTCTCAGACTCTCTAGCCTTTTTCCCTTCCCCTCTCGTTTCGCGTCTTCCTTTCTCCATGGTACGCGAGATTCAATTTGTCCCTGTAACGTGTATTCAATTGCTTTCCTCGCGGTTCAATCCCGATACGACGCCGATGTGTACGCCATAATTACGCGAACGGAGCTTTCCTTCTCGACGCTATTCAATTTCTCGTAATCGATTATTCGGCGGTGATTCGCCTTCTCAGCTTTCGTTCCGACCGGTGTTCCATAATTTCCGATTACCGCGATGAGCATTACGACTCGCGAGTAACCAAGAAATACCATCGATTTCCTTTAACGCCGGTTATTATTAGTCGAGTCTTAACAAGTACTAAATACTAAATAATTCACGTATGGATATTGTTAAACCCTTCTTCGATTGCGAGTTGAATGAAATTGCAGACTTATTAAAATTCAAAGTGCAAATGCAGAATGATAGATTCTTTGCGAAAGGAAGGCATTGGATTAAGAAAATACCTTTTCAAAAGGAGTGCTTTTTAATCGCAGGTCAGCATCGCCTTGACCATCGTGTTGGCCGTGGGCCATCGATCACGGGCCGGCGTGATACCTCTGGAAGAATCTTTCCACGAGCAACACGAACCATCCGACGAAGCAACTCTGGGTCAACAGGGTCCGTTGGCCAGCTCGTACGTGCAGTTTCACGGCCCCGTCGAGGGCCCCGAGTTCGCAGTGAAAGTTCCATACATGGTGCATCACGGTGACAGTAATCATTTGCACGGGCAAGAGCAACAGAACGGGTATACGTTCGACTACGTGGCTCATCCGAAGTACGAGTTCTCGTACGGCGTGGAGGATGAGCAGAGTGGTGATTTTCACTCGCAGAAAGAGTCGAGGGACGGTAAATAACTCGCACTTTCTCTCTCTTTAATTTTCAATCGAAAGAGAAATTTTCTCCCTTTCCGGTTTCTTCGACACCGTTGATGTCAATTTTAATATTTAATTATTTTATTCGCGCAATTTAGAGGTTGTTGATTCTCGTTCGAAGTTGGTGAATTGGTTTTGCGGTTTCCGTTGATCGTCCGGTTCCTTTTCAACAGGAAGCAGCGTGTCCGGTCAGTACAGCGTGAAGGAACCAGGAGGCAGCATCCGAGTCGTCAGCTACCGCGCCGACAAGAACGGATTTCACGCTGTGGTGCACACTTCCGGCAAGAACGACCACTCCGTCGGTATACACCACGGTCAAGGCCGGGCTAGGGGTCACGAGCACCAAGTTGCGATGCAACAGGAACAACAAGAACAACAGGAACAACAGGCGCACGATTACGCTTCGTATACCGAGAACGACGGATACTGATGCATTCGTGGATGATTATGCATTGTACTTCGTACCTGGACGCGATATCTTCGAGTTCACCGGTTCTCGCATACCAAAGCCTTCCTACAGCGACTCGAGCACGAAGATTAGCGTGAACAACGCGGATATTGTAAATATAGATTAATGGCTTTGAATAAAATCATTGTTATCGATGCGGTTCGTTTCTCCCCCTTTCGAGGGTAGTTTTTCAATTACGTCGATTCTTATCAACTTTGCTTCTCGAGCACCCTTCACGCGACGTCGGGGAACGATTATCACGTATCAGTGGAAGAGTTGATTAGGTTCTTCTTTGATCAAAGGAACGCAAGGCCGCGTGGCAGAGATAAAATCTGACGTGGCCGGCTATCAGAGATCGCGGAAAAGAGGTCGTCGATCGTCGATGATACGAAACTCGACCACGCCCGAGTAAATCGTGACACGCGGATGGGAGATCGTTAAGGCTCTTCTGATCAATTTGACGCTAACGGAACGTCGTTATCGCGAGTGGATAAAGACAAAAGGAGAAAAGGAAGGCGAAACGGGACCAAGCTGGCGGGGGAGGAACGAAAGCGAATAACAGGAGAAGAGATAAAAGGGATGCTCGGCCGCGCGCTAACAATGCCTCGAATGCATGCCGACAGAGGAACAAGGAGGTGGGAACAAAAAGAACAACGGAACTGGCTAGATGATAAGAGCCGGTAAGAGAGGACAGTGTACACAAATTACATCGTTAAATCGCTAATGATTCGATGTGTTTGCGGATAGATAATAACTCTAGTTATTATTATAAACTATCATAGAATGTAAACTCTGATAACTCTCTGTATTGTATGCGATTATGATTTTCGATAAAATAGTTACTCAGAAATTATCTCCGCTCTTTAGGAACATTATCGTTTCAGAACAACGTGGCTAATCTTCTATGCTATCATCAGTACCTCTCCATTTAATTAGAAAGGGCTTATTATCGGAATATCCAAACATTTATAAAATATGGATTTCTAATTTCTTATTATAATAAACATTTCTGTATCGTATAATTTCAGAAAATCTCTTACTAATGTCCTGAATCATTAATTACTCATGATATAAATAAAATAAAAAAATTAAATAACGAAGGAAATACGATGTTCTTCAATTTCAATTTCCTTAAAAACGTTTAATATCCCGAGGATAAACGAGGATGATCGACTGGGAAACGGTTCCGAAAGCCGCGAAAAGTGAAGCAGAATGAAGGATAAACGAAGCGGACTGCCGTTTGCCGATATGTTCTCGCGCGTCTTACGGTGCTGTCGTCGTCGCGCAGCGTTAGACTCTCGTTAATGGTCGTGTAGGATTCGGAGAGTGCAGCGTGTTCCACGGGAAAGGTAATTTCCGGCAGATCGTAGAAGCCAGTGTAATTACCCACGGCGGCGTCGCGACGCGACTGCTCGAACCGGTTGCCCTCACGCTCGACGTAGTCGTCCTAGTTGATCCGTCGCGGAGCGGAGTCGCTTTTACACCGGAACGCGTCCCTTTATCAACGTTGTATCGCATTAACAAATTACTGGCGAGATGGTAGCATGTCGCGGCGTTGATGCGACTAACGAAGCACCGATGCAAACAGCTTTTGCTACGCGTCGAACGGCGACGTCGATTATTCGATTGCGGCTCGTCTAATTTCAAGAGCATTAGAAACTCGAGCGATATTCCGACGGGGAATTACGATCTTTACCAACCGAGTCCATCGCGGCCGACGTTATTAAACGATAAAAGAAACTGGCCCTTCGGCTCGGTGCAAACTTCGCTCGGGATAGAAGTTTCAATTATGAAACGAAATTAACTTTGCTAACTTTCCGGCAAAATCAACGAAACAGGAAGATCTCCCGTTATGATTTCCGGCCGGGAATGGACGGTCCTGGTTTTCCTCTTGAATGGCCTCTGATTATCTTGGAATACATTTCCCGACGAAATTCCAGCGGATTCCAAGCGAAAGATCGGATCATCGCGGAACGATATCGTCCGTTCGTACCTTCTCGTTTCAGGGAACTTGAATTTTTCAAAATCCAAGCCGGATCAGTCTATCCGTTTTCTTGAAGAAGCGCCTCGAGTATCTATCGTTTTTGTTTCGAATAAAATTTGCCAACAGGAGAATCGATAATTACGCGCATACCGGCCACGAGAGCCGCGTTCATATTTGTCGAGCCCCAATTAGTCGCAGCCAAACGGTTCGCTTTTTCGAGTTAGCTCTAACCAACGGAAACAATACGCGGTGGTCCGGCCGGTATCTTAAATTTACATTCGCGAATGAGATTAAGCGCGTGGACAATGGCGATTCTGTCGCGATTCCAACGATAACGATGTCAATATTCAGCGTAAATATTCGCCAAGGCAAAACACGGCCGTGCTTCCGTAATAAATTTGACGATGGGACGCGGTGCTGTTTAATCGGACAGCAATGTGGGTCATCGTTGAGCGTCGAAATCGCTCGTTCGAGCTCTCGGCTGCAAAAATCGCATAAATATATTATTCATAACTATTCGTTGACCCGTTTCGTACGGTTGGCTGACCGGATCAAAACCGCGGCTTTAATAATCGGAGAAAAAAAAAATATCTCCTGCGAATTGCCCGTTCTCCGTTCCACTTTTACACCGTTTCGAATTAATCGACGTGGATCTCGGGAAAAACAGGGAGGGCAGAAACGACGCTACTTGTCAAGGTAATTACCGCATCATCGTCGTTGATGGATGATCAACGGTCGTACAGCAAGAAACGGGAATCACGAGCGGAACAGGTTGACACACGGAACGGACGACGGTTTGAAATCGGGATCGGTTCGAACGATGGCTGGAAAGCGGACGGAACGACGGGGACATCGAGCGTAGCCGAGCATTTCGACGCTGCAATTATAATGAATCAGGCTGCAAATGGACAGCGAGGCGGGAACGCGGCGGGCGGATAATCAATAGGTTTGCCAGTGGGAAGCGTAGAACGGTGGACGGTACGGAGAGGCGAGTGGCGTATTTCAATCGACAGGAAACGCTTGGAAGCCATGGGTCGCGGCAATTTTCCCTTTCGTCCACCCTCCGCTTCCGTACGCCTCCAGCCGCACCGCGACACCGTTAATTTCTTAACTGCTAATCCGCTCGAAAAGCTGGCCAATCGTATTTCCACCGGCTATCGTTTCGCGTTGTAAAAACTTTGCCTCGTTGCAACGAACGATCTTCGACGATCGTTAACCGCAATTATTTTCACCCTGGTCATTTCGTCGACCGATGACTAACGTATTTACCTTCTCGTTACGGAGTTGCTCTGCTCGTTACAATATCTCCCGTTTCATTTTATTCCGGCTGTATCTCCTTTCTTCATGCCCGCAGATATCAAATGCAATGTGCCCCGTTTATTTTCGTAGAAAATGTTGAAAACCGGAGGAAACAAAATCGTGGCTCTAATTCGTAGAATAAAGTCATTAAAAAAAAGGAGGTAAGAAGGGTAATCGCGAAATGGTAGGAGAGTTGGAACGAAATGAAACGTAGGAGGCTGTGTTTAAGAGCGAACTGAATCGATAGCTCTACCCTGCGACCCGTAGGCCAAATGTAGGTCATACCGTGATCCCTTTTTCCCCTCTCTGTCTCTTTTACTCGCCGCTTCCGTCTGTCTGTTTGGCTGGCTGGCCCTGCTCTTCTGCTCTCATCGCTTCTCTCCTACGGTGTTCGTTTTCCCCGGTAGGGTAGGTGTACGGTATATTATTGCATCGGCACCCGGTCGCAGAGCGCTCGTTCCCAGTATATACATTTTTCATAAATAAATTCCACGGACGTTCCGAAGTCGGCCTTACTGCACGCTGCTCTTCTATATATACCTTCCTGGAATTACATATTTGACTGCGGAGCCTGGCATTGGCTCCGCTTCGCCAGTTCCATCCACGATCAGCATCGATCCTCTATTGATTTTATCCATCGATCGTGATTAACTGCACCGATGCTCTCTTGGTAAATTTATGCGAAAATGGGATTAATTTAAGAGAGATTCCTGTGCGTGTTTGTATTATTAATTCAATAAAGTGAAAACTTGCGAATTAAGCGTCAAATTGACGCGTGAACAAAACTGCTTTTATGCCATATAAAATTTACAAGATTTAATGCAAGATTCACTTCTGATTTGAAATATTGGATTCGGAGTTCTCCGTTGTATTTTTTGTGTTTACTTTCTACGCACTTTTTAATTACATTTCTAATGAGTGAAGTCAATTTACTAACATTAATACTTAATTTACGATTACATCAAATTGACGTGTATCCGTGGAGATTTTCGAGATTAGAAGCCCCAGAAGAAAATGAATTTGCATATATATATTTGCCTCGTTAATTGGATAAAAGTCTGTAATTTTTCTCGTGAATTTCAAAATGCGTCAAAATAACGCGTGAACCTAGCGTTGAACATCTACCCCGGTTTAGATGTGATTCGATCAAAGCAGATGTTCGTCTATGCTGTACACGAAAGGGTGTACGGTGGGAGGGTACGTTGTCTTCTATTCTCTGTTGCTTGATTACCAAGTACTTTAGCTTCACGCGAGCAACAGCTGTACGAGCGTTAAGAGATTAGCCGAAAGTTGGCGAGCTAGCGCGATAAACAAAATGGATTAGGTACACCGTGTTCCAAAGGAATTCTCCAGCATCTCTTGCCTTTTCCTTCGAAATTGTCCTTGCTGCATCTGTTTCGGAATTATACCGCTCAAATTACTCTGCTCAATTTAATCCCGACCAAGGAGCTTCGAAATTCTGCTCGAAATTCGTAGAAACAAGTGGAAGTATTTTTTAGAGAAAATTTCGAAGGGAGGCAAAGGTTAGAATTAAAAACATCTTCGACGAGGAATCAGAGGAAAGAAAGGAGCCGCAATCTCGGAACTAACGAGCAGTTGCCAAATAAATCCGAGCAAAGGAACATCCCAGCATCCTGTTGTGTCCCTCACGGGCCGTTCAGGGATTTGGCAGCAACCGTGGCTGAATTCTGCGCGTGACAACGCATATTCATTCGAGTCCCCTTACCTCGCTCGTCTTACGCTATCGGCTTTCTCCATTTTCTCGCCTTTCCGCACGTTTTACCACCGTTTCTGCGTTCCTTTATAGCGAAACACCCTAAGGTTTGTCCTCAGATACACGCGTCGAGTATGAACATCCTACGTGTGGAGCCTCTTTTTCAAATGTTTCACGGTTCAACGCTTTCCTCTCACGTAACGCGGACCCTTTATACGAGAATCAAGGAAGTTCGAGGTAGCGAAGATGAAGCGAGAGGAAAATGGAATTTTTTCCGCTCCTGGAGATTGCGTTTCCGTTTAGGAATGCTATTAATTCTCTCATCCCAGTCGTAAAACGTGGAATATCGCGGAAGCTCGCTTTATTTGTCTCTCGGTGATGCTCTGTTTTTTCTTTTCAGTCTGGTAAAATGAAAAACAACGCGCTTTTCCGAGGATCGCTCGCGTTCACGTGACTCGGGGTGCTCGAACAGGATCGACACGAGTGTTTTTCGAGTAGAATTCGGAGAGGAATAACGCGTCGGAAACATTGCGAGTGGTCGCGGTGTCTTCGCCCCGGAAAAAATAGTCGCGGAAGGGTGGAAAAAAGGCGGACGATCCGTGTTCTTCGGTCTGGATTGGAAATCGGCCAACTTCTGGACGAACTAGATAGGCGAAACAACGGGCCTGCTCTCCTTTTTCCGGAGGCAATTGAATTTTTATATCTGCCGAGTGAGAAGCGCGAACGGCAAAAAATACTCGAATGATTCTCGAATATCCGTGGAGGAGACGACGCGACGCGGATAGAAGTGTCATACGTCTTCGATGCTTGACGTTTACGACGGAAATTCGCTCCGTCTTTTCGATGCCTATTGCTCCGGTTTCCCTTGTATCGCGTCGAAAGGGAAGAACTGGAGGAACAGTTAGGAAGTTTCGGGCGATTCGACTCGGGCGAGACAGTCGGCGGGCAAACAATTCCGGGAAAGTCCTTCCTCTCGGGGCGGATAATGAATTTTAAAATGGAAACGAGCAGCCAGTAAAACGGCAACGCTGAAAGCTGGCTACGACAAGACGCATTAGAGAGGCGTAAAAGTAGCACCTGCCTCATAAACTGGTCGTTTCAAAGAGGATCTCGTGTCTCCGTTT